TCTCTGTGGACAAAGCTACAGGAGGACATGTGGGCCTGTGGCGTGCACATGTGCTGCTTTCTTTTCCTTGTCTCCTCTTCTTTTTTTGGTCTTTTTATCCGTGGCTATCTGGTTGCTGGTGTGTTTTCTTCTAAGATGGTGGGATAGAGGATGATTGGCTCTGATGTACCACATTCCAGCCACAATTACTCATGTAATTGCTGGGGTTGGCTTGCATGCGAAGATTGCAAAGACCAGGACGAAATATATTACAGCAAGTAACAAGTTGCACTTGTTCCATAATTCCACTGTACGTTTTCCGCTTGCATGCGCTCTATAAAAAGGTTCTGCCTTCAGATAACAGAATACAACGGGGTGCTCAAAAGTCTTCATCACTGACTGGACCCATAATACTTCATGTCAATCATGATGCACTTAAAATAACTGGATCTAAGGTACAAGATCCAGTTGGATACTGAACTGACCCTCGCTATTCATTCAGTTCTTCCCGAGTAATACTAGTGGACGAGAGAGTAGTTGTATTTTCCTGAGGAAGATGAATATAGAATATAGTGGTACCCTTTGACTTGGAGACCTCTTTATCCATAATAGTTGCAGGATCATTTCACTACATTCAGCCCAACATTCCGCTTTGACAAAACCAAATGATGTGGCTCCAGTCTAAATAAGTCTGACCAAACGCTTTAACGCATCAAGCTACAAACGTTTATACGTATTGACGAACATTACGAGGTGCCGAATGCAGTGAAGTAGCGGTGATTCTCGGGTTTCTCCCTGGAAGCACGCAGGGCAGTTGTCTTCTGTCTGGAGCGCACTGTGTTACAGCCAGTGGTCTCCAGAAAACCTCCTGCAGCCCGTCCTCACATCAAAGTGGCCGTTACTGTGGCTGGCCCGGACCAGTCTATCACCGGGCAGTCCTGACCTACGCTTGTCTGGCCTGCCGTCTGTCTCGGCTCCTGTCTCCTGCTTTTAAGCTGCTCTGGTTCTATGGGGGAATACTTGCGGCGGTTTGGATGAACAAGTTTTTAATATTAAATGTACTGTTAAATCTGCTGAGCGGTATGTGTTATAAACAGCATAAATATCCTTCTAAAACGGCATTAGCGCCGTCATTTCAGTTAACAGCATTTGGCAGAGGTTAAACACCCGAGAAACCCTTTCTGTTTTGCAACCACTTGCTGGAAATGTCAGAATAATTACTTATTTCTGCCATCTGCTCCCCTGCATTAGGGACTTTCTTAATTCGCTACAGTCCTCTCAACATGTAGAGGGATCTGTCAGTCAACCAAAGGTTTGCAATGCTAAAAACATCTGAGTCTTGGCCCTTCCTAGCCCGTCCTCACGCTGTTTTATGCGGCTCTTTTCCTGCTCTAGCACACTAACACAGCCTGATCTCGGGTCACAGAGGTCACACTATATGAGCACACATCTGGACCCACAAACTGGTCCCAACGTCACCATAGGGAATCGCGGGAGTCCGTTTTATCAGAGCGAGAACGAATCCAGAGTGGAAGAGCAACGTCGCAGCGCTTTGTACAGAGCCACTTTCCCGCCCCTTTGTCTGCACCACAACCTGCTTTATAACGTCGGCGGCCCGCGGTTCTGCAGGTTTGTGGTGCTGGTGAAACCCAACCCGGCCTGATCCGGATCAAGCTCTGGCAGCCTGGCGTGTCACAAGCACCCAAAGGTTTATCACGTCCCCGCTGCTCCCAACTTGCATCTTCTTTCCCTAAACTTAATTTTCCTATTGCTCTCTCCAAGGCGGGTCGGCCTTTATTTGGCGTCTTCCTGACAGGCTCAAACACGTTGCCTTTTTGATTCCATTGAACGATACGTGTTTTCCTAATTTGTTTTTTTTCCATGTTATTGTACAGGATGGAAGTCTGATGAAATTATCATTATTGCATCATATTTACCAGTTTGCAATAAGTGCAAACCACACAACATTTAATGTGCACTGTTTTTATTTATTTCTGTGAACAAAAGCATGCTCTGTGCTCAGGCGTCAGGCGTCATACTTGTTGTGTTATGTTCCTTTTTGTCGTGAAAGACTTTTTCTCCCACTGAGTGTCAGTCAGCACCGATGACCACTGTGTTAACAAGTAGCCGCCATCGGATCCAGAAGGGGCAACCTTTTATTTATGGTGTCGCCCTTTAACCCTGCAGCACAATAGAAGGCCAAAGACACAATTGGCCGCATTTGCCATGTTGGACCATTTAGGATCGGAAAAGTGTTCTTAACCTCATGTGCAAATGCAATGGACTCCTGCCATCTTTATGATCCTGCTCATTAAAATTAATTGTGTGGCTGTAAAAATAGATTCCCCTTTTATGTTGCCCTCTAGATTGTCTTATGCACTTTAGATCTAACGTGAGAAATTACTATACTTTCAGCCGTTCCACTTGGTGATTCACTATATTTTGTTGTCAAAGCACTTGGCATTCCTGGAGTGAAGGCATGAGTAGATCAAGGCTCTCGCTGTAGCAACCAGTCCAAATACACAGCAACACACATCAATCATAACTTCCATACTTGAGGAAAATGGCACACAATTTGAAATATTACAGCAAAATGTTGTAGAATACTTACCCGTTGTGGGCTGGGTGATTACTTGTTTATATAGAGTGTTAGTTGATGTATCAATCTGTCTGAATAGCTATAAATATGATCAGCCTTATTAGATCCTACATTTAAAGTGAGCGAGTCATCGAAACATGGCACTGAGGGAATACCCCTAATTTAACAGGGCACGTTTTTAAGAGATCTCCTAAAAAGCATAGCCGGCCCCTTTTTAACATTGAACCCATCAAACCTCTGCCTTTTGATCAAACCCCTTTACACCTTTTCCATATATGTATATTTTAACACCACCATTAATGAGCCTCACCTCAACATCTCGCCCTCGGTCGGGTGACAGCCCGTCTTGTTGGGCCCCGGGTCAAGCCCATTACCACCGGGGTCTGGGAGCGGACACGGCTCTGCAAGGCCCTCAAACGCAGCACTCCGGTCCATAAAAATATAAAGAATGGGGCTCTTGCCTGGTACTCCCCCATCATTTACTTTTTTGACTTCTTTGTGGACGCCTAGAGTTTGTCATTTTAAAGGCAGTGGAGGTCAGGTGGGCCAGTTCTTTTGGGATTATTTACTTGCTTGTCTCGCTCACAGAAGCACCACCCTGCCCTCGCCCTCGCCCTCACCCTCACCTGGGCGGCTCCGGGCTTGTAAAGCACAAGCACAGGGATAGCGAAGGAGTACTCTTGATGAACTCACAGATCTCATGAGCACACTGTATCTTTGCTAGTTTTCACTGAACAATGAGTTTATAGGAAGCCGCAGCGTTTAGAATCTGCATGGCTGACTGCAAAATGGCTCCGCCGTAGAGGCCGTCTTGTGCTCCTCTTCAGCCAACCAGTATGTTCTCACTCACTGAGATTTTATAAACAGAAACTAGAGACATTTGTCTGTACAAATCCTCTAAAACCGAACCGACTGAAAATCTGTGTCTTATTTTCCAGCGTTGGTTGCTGCGAAGAGCAAAATTAGCAGCTTCTGAGAGTCCCCGTCTTACCACAAGATCTTCTGGTCCTCCCTATTATGTCCCGCTCCCTTGGCCTTGCTGTTTGGTCCGTGCCTTTTTATGGCAGGGTACGAGAGGGCCATGAGGAAATGAGGTGACCTTGGGGTCAGGGGGGCTGGTACCGGACCACGGCCCTGCCAACCTCACTCTCTCAGGGCCGGTTGAGGGTTGAGGCCGGCAAAGCAAAGGAGGCCGGGGGACAAAGCGTGGAAAGGATCCCTTCCATCCTTGACCCCAGCATCATGTGCCTTTAATTAAGCCAGATTTGAATATGTTTACAAGCCCAAGTGGTCTTAAATCTTTGGGTTATTGCCCCCCATGTACCCTGTATTCTGCCATCGTCTCATACCTCAAGACCTTCTTTTTCGTCCTCTTTTTAATATGGTGTCAGACATCTATTTATTACGCTGTTTTAACTAGTTTTCAGGAACGGGTTACAAGCTATTTGGGAATCCACCAAACAGGATTCGAGGGACACCCCGCTAAGATGTTAATCTGTTCGCGATATGAAAGGCTGCTCACCCCACTAAACTCCCCCTCCACTGGAACCTCGGGGCCCTTTATGGCCGCATCAGGCACCGGCATGGACGACTCGCTGCTGACCTCGTGACCCAGCAGTTGAAGCCATATGAGGAGGGAATCGTTTTTGTTTCACTCCTGATTCTCTTTCTACGCTCAGAACGCGCGATGTTCCTTCATCGTACCGAAGCTATCGTTGATCACGTTTAGAAACATGCTTTAGTTTATTGTGTCTTGCTAATTGCTCGAATCATTTGGCGTATAAACAGTCAAAAGACTATTTAGTTCAACATGTTGTTCTTTTGTTGGTGTTTGCGTGTCTCAACCATGTGGCCGGACATAATGAGATCCTTTCTTGTCCTCTCAATACCCGAAACTCTTTATCTCCAAAAGGCAACGTTTATGTTCATTCTTTCAAACCCAATTGGTCGCTCATGTAAAAGATTTACACACATCTCACGACCCTTTATTAGGTAGTTACCAGCGTGTTTTCTACACAAGAAAAAGGTCCTTTGACTGGCTCCATCATATTAAAAATTTACACGTAACTAAAGAGCTGTTACAATTGGCTTACTAGCATGTTAGTAGTCAAAAAGCTTTCTGGTCCCGGGGAGTTGGGTGGCTAATTGGATCGGTTGGGTTAAATAAATGTTTTAGTTCTCCCCTGCTCTGGGAGGAGTGGCAGTAGGAGCCTCTCATCTTAGCAGAGCAAAATAACACCGGGCCGGGGGGGTAAGAAGGGCGATGATCTCATGTATCACAAGGTCAAATTAGCTTAGTCTATTTTTCAGACAAGGTGTCCCAATGTAATTTACCCAATATGGGCAATAAAACAAAGTAACAGCAATGTGACTGTGTAATATTTACAGTTTGGAGGTTTTAATGAAATCTTGGTCGTTGCAGGTTCCAGATCCAAAGGGGAACCAGTGACCCCAACAGCTACAAGAGCCTCGGGGATTGCTTCCGCACCATCTTCCGCAACGAGGGGTATGTCTTCCCTCGACAGGTCACTTGGCAAGGGTGAAAATTCATCATGCAATTATTTATTTTATATGTGGTATCCTCCATAGAAGTATATTCAGACATCATCAAAAATAGAGGGAAAATACATCTACACAATATGATCGGCCATTCTGATCTATTCAAATGTCACTACTGTGCATGTTGTGCATTTAAACGTTTTATCGACTCGGAAGCTGATCGTCTTGTAGTTTTCCCAACGAACTAGCGACAGTCCTCCTGCTGTGCTCCCTCCTCCTGTGTGTGACAGCGCTGCGAGACGGTGCAGGCGAAAGTGTTTGCCACTCGCTCTGTTTACGGCGAGTCGACAGCTTTACGGTGGATATAAAGTTGATCTGCTGTGAGGTGCGAGTGAGCGCAAGGTGAAAGGCCGTCTAGACGGTGGGATATCCCACACTGGCAGCAGTTCAACAGACCCGGCTGCAGTAGCTGAGCTACTCACACACTCAACACACACACACACACACACACACACACACACACTCCCATTGTGGAAGTGCCTTTTGGGTGCGTCTCCTTTCGGGAGTACGAGCGATACGTCGTATCCGACGCAGCGACGTGGTTGTCAAACGGGGACAGAAGACAGAAGATCCACTTTCTTGTTGAACAATTCGCACTGACAGTATGTTTTTGCTGAGGCCGTAATGACTCCCCGGTAGCACATTGTGGATTACCTCCAGGCCAAACCACTTACTTATAATTTATACAAATAGCGCTACGCCTTACTGTTTTGAATTATTATTAAAAATAAACATTTCCCGTCAGCTCATGGCAGGACGCAGCTTACGCCCCCCCTCCCTCCCTCTCTCTCCCCCTCTCTCTCTCTCTCTCTCTCTCTCTCTGTGTCTCTATTTGAGGTGATGAAGGGGGGAAACCTGAGCTCGCGGCTCCAGCTCTGTGATTTCACTGAAGGAGGACATGGAAATGTGAACATGTGCGACACCATCTTTAAACCGTTTGAAGCCTAAACACGATAGACTTAAATTTTCATGCGGAATAGAATTGAACGCTTCCAGTTGGGAAGCGGGCGGTTGATGGGGGGGGGGGGGGGGTGATTATTTAGGTTAAAAACACATTATGTATTAAGTTGTTTTTTAATCTGGAAAATCTAGCATGAAATCCCGTAGCCGTGGTCATAAGTGCGTGACGGTGTGAACTATGCTCACTGGCCATTGGTCGGCGTATTGCCTTACAGGCTGCGCTGCTTTGCTTCTGCATGTGGGTGCAGCAACCGAGCGCGCGTGTTAAATGTTTCCGTCTGGAGGGAAACAAAAAGACTCTATTCTGCAGCATTCTTTACCAGTGTGGTATCCAGGGAATGGGTCGGGACCCAAAGCGCGGCCGCAGGAATATTAAAAGGGTCCTCGGTTTACGGCGGAGCGCGTTGGCCCGTGGACACTAGATCAATGACTAATGCCTGGAACCGACAGTAAGGGGGGCGTTCCAGCTGGGACCACCCGTAGAGGAATATGTATTTTCATTTTCATGTGAAGAAGTGCAGATTATACATGTTCATTGGTGTCTTTGCCAGTCGATTCCTTATAGGATTAAACATTGTACAGTGAGTTAATGTGAGTTCAGCAGGTGACAGAACCATGCTGGTTGTTTCCGGTCTCTATGCTGAACTAAGCTAACCAGCTGTTAATTATATATCGCACAACAGACCAATATTTTAACAATATCTTCTCACTCTAAAAATGATAAAACAAGACCAGAAACCATCTAAACAATTTACTTCGCTGCAAAGTAACACTTGACCAATTTGGGCAAAAGGAGGCATTTAAAATTGCATAACTTACAACGTTATCTTATAGATTGCATCACCAGTCATAAAATATAATAGTAAGAACAGTGGATCATCAAAGCAAAAGTACATTGTTTCAGAAATCTTTTTCTAAAAATGCAATTTCCCGGTCTATAAATAGCACATGTTTTTATATACAGTTCCAGTCAAAGTTTGGACACACTTTCTCCTTCAATTGAATGAGAATACGTTTTTTAACCTTTGTGTGCTCACTTTATATGTAAATATATCGATATCATCTTTAAATGTTGTGCCTTTTTATGTTTAGAAAACCTCATCTCTGCCAATTCTGCTCTATTGTCTGTTAGTGACAATGTCAAGGTTACAAAGACGCAGGGAGAGAGAAAATATTTGCAGATGAAGCATGCCGGTTGTTTACGTGCTAAAATACTTCCTGCGGCGGCTCATATTACGACCACTATAGTGGTGCGAAAACGAACGAACGTCTCCTGATGGAAATGATCGTTTTCCATTAAACATTCACACATTTCATCCGTTAAGAAGTAAAAAAAAAAAAAGTCAGTTTATTTAATTGCTCCAGTGTTTCCTACGCTCCTGTCCAAACGGATGTAGGCTGTTAAAAAAAGGAAAGGTTTATGAAAATGAAAGACAAATCATACGCACAAGTACACACACACACACACACACCTCGCTCCGTGTCAGGGGGTCATTTGCTTAGGAAAGCCCAAAAGGGACTTAGTGTGTACTTTACATTGTAAATCAAATGAGGATTCAAATGATGGCCACTCAGTAGAGGCCGTATTTGTTCTGTAACAACTTTGACTCCTCGTCCAAACCTGGTGGCTCGCCAGCCTGACCACACCCGGGAAATCTGTGGCCGCCATTTGCATGGACAAAGAGAGCCGAGGAAAGGGTCTTCCGTCCGACTGAAATAACTTCTTTACACAAACAATACAAACGATTCATTCTTTATTCAGAGGAGGGGTTTTCCTTATCCTTAATCCCTTACTCCAACGTTGTTATTATATTAATGGCTTGGCGTAGCAGAGCCAGTACGGGGCGCGTGCGACTTCAGGTGTCGGCTCTGTCACCTGATCAGAAGTGTTGTGATATTAGTTGTGGTTCACTGCGGTTTTTCTGCGCGTAATTGCTGGTGCTTCTCGGGCCCAATCAACCCAAATCATCTGAGTTGACTTGTAGAGAATGTTGCCACAACAGAGTTGGCGCTGGCAGTTCACAAGATACAGTTGGTCACGCCACGTCGTCCTCTGTGTCCTCGGAGCTGTGTTCAGTATCAATATGAACTCGCTCCCTGTAGCCTGCAAGCAGCTAAGTGGGAAGTTATGCGTATTTGGCCATTCTGCTTTTCATTTTGAACGTTGTAAACCGGTTTCCCCTCGCACACATCTCATCGTGTGTTAGCCTCACTTCTGTCAGGCTTCCCACGCCATCTGTAGCTTTGAGCCACAAGACCATCCGATGCCAACGGTGCTACATTTAGCTGCATGCTCATATTCGTTTGCAGTTCCAGTAGCAGGACGGACGAATGTGTGTCTGCACAATGCGGTTGCATCAAGTGTAGTTATTTGCACCCCCAGAAATGCCATCTTTAAATACATACAAACAAATTTATACTTGTCTTGAGGCAACAAGTACACAAGAATGCAATGCCAGTCAGTGAGACCACAGACAAAGCATCACGTCAACCCCCGCACGCTACTGATGACATTTACAGTTACACCTAATCATGGCACCGATGATCCGATACGGGACATCTCGATCGGTTCCAAAAATGTAAGAAGACGACGTCGTGATTGTTCTTGTTTGAATGTTTGGACCGGCTTTACCGGTTTCACTATGAGGCTAACCCCTTAAAACAACAACGTGGAAGGAGAAAAGTAGCTTGCTGCTCCCAGCAACAGTTTGTTATCGACACAACAGCTAATGACTCAGTAGTATCTGATGTTTCAGGTGCGCTGCGTTTCAAGACCTGGGCCCAAGCCAAGAAGCTCCTGTGTAATTTAATGTGATTTGACATCTTGTTTTATACCACATGCCCGGCCCTGCCTGTGGGAACTATAAGTTCAAGCTAATGAACCATTGCACCTTTTTTTGTTTTCTTTCCTGAATCCCAGAGTTGGGAAAAGGCCTGTGTGTGCACTTCTGAATGTATACGAAACACGCTTTGTGCTCTCTTTGCAAAACAGGAAACTTCTGTCACGTAAACATGAGAGGCAGGTCGGGCGTATTTTGGGGGGAACCTCCGGTGTGATGTGAATCAATGTCAACCAAGAGCTTTTTAGAAGGGCAGATTATAATGACTTCTCATGATATTTCTATGATTTACCCACGATAGGTTTTATCTATTTTAGAGACATTGTATACTTTAACTCTTCAATTTCAGAGACATCCATTTACATTTCTGTCTGTAAGAATCTAGCCGGACTGACCGCTTAGTTTACTGTAAATACACTCAATGAAATGGACTGCTTACAAAACGCAGTCCGTGTAAAATGTAGGCATAGATCTTTACATACATAACTCACTGTATCATTTTATTATTGTTTCTGCCTCCAAGTACGTTGTAACTCATGGCTGGATCGTATGATTGAGCTACGGCAAACTACCAAATTATGTAGAATTATACTGCTGCCGTCTTTTGAAATATTCAGTACATCCACCGATGAAATAAACGCTTAAATCATTTTCTCTGCAGATTCCTGGGGAGCTTGTTGCCAGGGTTTGTGGTTTGAAAATATATCTCGGTAGTTATGTTCTTGAACGGCTGCAATATACTTTCTGTTGCCATTTTCCGAGCTCCGTGTTTGTCCTGCTGTCTGTATTCACTATGGTCAGAGGCTTGAGCACAAAGGTGGGATTTGGTTCTAATGGACATTCATAATAAATATACAACAAAGTATGTCTACGTGTATATGTTTGGTCATTTTGAAGAACTGACCATTGAATGCACCATTGTAACAGATGCTATTGTTGCATGCTCATTAGGTTTAAGTGTAAAATAACCTGAAAAGACTATAATGAGAGATTTAATTTAAAAAATGGACGTAGACTTGATTTTCTATCTTTATGTCTTGGGTAACTCACAGTTACTTAAATTGTGAATTTCATAGCAGCTAATTGATTTTAACATCTGACGGATATGAATGGAAATCAATGGCTGCCTTAAACGATGGAATTGATACAGCTAGAAATCTAAAACGTTGTCTTTAATGTAAAGTGAACAGAATAAAACATGGTTAACAACTGGTACGAAGGGATAAGGCCTACTTTTATGAATTAAACCTCAGAATAATAAGTTTACTATCACGCATGGCAACAGAAAACAAAAAATCTTCTCATCTGACAAGTAAGAACATTGAAAGTATTTTGCTGATCACATTTCTGTTGATCAACCCACGGATAATGGTTTCAGTTTTGACATGTCTAAAGGTCATATAATTGTTACTGTCATCATAAAATTATAGTAATTGCTAACAAATATTTCTCCTCTCCGCAGAATCTCTGGTTTCTACAAAGGGATCCTTCCTCCGATTGTGGCGGAGACGCCAAAGAGAGCCGTCAAGGTGAGGAACCAGGATCTTTGAGCTTCCTGCGCTACGATGCAACGCTCCGGCTCCTGTTTAACCGTAAACATACGGCCGTATGAAAAACACTCCCACCGCATTTCTTCTAATGTGGTACACGCGTGCTGATTAATCACGTGACATCCTCCGCCATGTCTGCCTCGCCTTCAGCCTCTCCCGTTTGTACTCTTGGTCTGCTAAATATTGACTTCCCAGCTATCGTACCCATGCAGCTCTTAAAGCCTCCACCTTTTCATATGTGTTCAAAGGTAGACTTGCACATAACACATAATTGGGGTGAACCAAGAGGGCTCGATGCCGGTCACGGAGCTGCTCGGCAATGACACACTGGAGACGAGGATGTGTGAACTTGACAAATAAACGCTCACACCGAGAAGACGGGTTAGTCGCTCGCCGGTGGTGAGAAATGTCTGGAGCTCGGAAAAACAAATCCGTGATGTTTCCTTTTTCAGAACGTGCTCTGAACGTTTCTCAGACAAGACTCACATCACGGCTTTATGTTGCCGTGCCGGTTTATTGGTTGATACACAGCTCACCCAAATTCCCATTTCCTCCAGAGTCTTTTTAAAGTAGCTGCTTTTTAATGGCGTGTATCTGTGTGTCTGTGTGTGTTGCCAGATGTCGGTTTCATGGATGCACTGTGACTTTCTGACGGTTTGTTTAACCTGATCCTCCCTCTGCAGTTTTTCACTTTCGAGCAATACAAGAAGTTGCTGAATCTCACCCCTTTGTCTCCTGGTTTGGTGAGTCTTCACACGCAGAAACACCTGAACACACTGGAAGACAAACACAGGACCAGGAAGAGCGTCACACCCAGTGTCAAAAATCCAACATTTCCTTTCACCTGCCAAATGCCAAGAATAATTTGACTGGCCCAAAGAAGTTGTTAGTTTAATGTACCTGTCAATGTGAGTGAACAAACAGTTTTAAGTATTGTTTCATGTACAAATACAGCTAATGCATGAGTACATTTGGAGAAATTCCTTCACTTTTTACATTCTTGTCTTTACCTGACGACCACAACCTGAGGAATGAGTCCAAGTGAGCCACGAGCGACCAGTTGAAGGTTATAATCTAGTTTGGTCCATGAAGCCTCTGCCGGTTTCATTCTATTTATTAATATTAATAACGTTGGCATGTACATCAACACTTTTTTCAGTTTTATGCAGATGATACTGTAGCATAGAGTTGATGAGCTGCACCTCTTATTTAATAGTCTGCCGTGCACGCTAAACTTTAAAGTGGTTTTGAGTATAGAGAAGAAGTTTATTTAGGGCTACGGAAATTGTTATTTGTCGGAAATCTGCACTTTAAATGGTACACTTAATGAGAAAGTTCTTATTTAGATACTTAGATGTCAGAATTGATGCTCATTTTACTTTTGAAACCCTGTAATCAGCTTTAATTAAGTCTAAATTAACCAGACAGTCTGTAGCTTTTCGGGTGATCTATTCTCAAAAAGGGTATTTAAATCTCCACTGCCAACTGTAGCCAGCGCCTTTTGATTTTTCCTTTTTACTTAAAGGTCATTATAGTCTCCGATGCTTCACGCCGTCCCTTTAAGGGTGCAACTTGTTCTTTGTCATTTTTATAGGACCATGTCCTGTTTCACTTTTTTTTTTTTGTAGAAAAATGATTGTTTTTGCAACACTTCTCTTTGTGTTGTTTGTCAACACAAAGAGAAGACGGAAGACGGAAAGGGGTCGGCACTTTAATCTTTAAAGAATTACTTTCTTATTTATTATGCCTGCTGTGGCTGAGATGTTCTACTTTAAAGCAGAGACTGACGTACAGTTTATGTTCCTGAAGTAAATGACATGGTCAGAAAGACGGCCTGCAGATAAGTGGGTAGTGCCCGGGGTAAAATGAAGAATAACGTGAACACCTGCAGCCTCTTACGTGTGTTTGCTTGGTGGTTATTAATTCTGGAGAATGGGTACACGTCAGGCACGAATCCACAAGTGATTTCCTCCTTCTTGACCAATCTGGTTTCTGTTATAGTTTTGAGCTAGACAGATCTGCGTTTGCTGGGGTGCGGTCACCACGCGCACGCACACACACACACACACACACACAATGGAGGCAATGGAGGCAGCAAAGTGTCAGGTGTGATGGATGGCTTACCTGTAGCTCACCGTGGAGGCCGCCCCGGCAGGGCCGGTTTCCTCGTCCTGTTTTCACAGCCAATGGTGGAGAAACGTTTACCTGTCCCATCCATCATGCGATCCACCTCCTTCTCTGTTCCTTCATCTTACTCTTCCTCCAGCGCCTCCAAACCCCATTTCCCCCCCAGAGGCCCTTGTGTGAGTCAATTAAAGATTGGTGGTGGTCCCCCCCCCCCCCCTTTTCAGCGTGGCACAGCTGAATGCCTTCACCCTGATTAATGAGGACACACACAGCAATAATACAAATAAGGAATGAAAATGTGGCTGACTGGCTGTGTAAACATTGCAAGCCATGTCTGAGAGGATGGGTCCTGGGGCCCTGACAGCAGGATAAAGAGGCAGGAAGAGTAATGAGCTATAGACACGTTCTTGACATGTTCCCATTACACTTCTCTGAGCATACGCACGTGCAGACACACACACGCGAACGTATGCTGCAAATACGTGCACTGTTGCAACAGCCTCTCATAATTACATTTCAGGGTCGTCTATAAATGGTTAAGGGACTCTTCCTGTGTCACTAAATACAGTGCTGTGGTTATTAGAAACAAAATAAAGGTAGATCTTAACCAGCGTGCTACTTTGCTCACATTGCTTTTTCTCTCTCCTTTGCTTAACCTTCCTTTCCCTCCTGTCTGTCATCTGAGATTTTGTCCAGGGATAACAGACACAGGTGTCCTCAAACATTTGTCCCACGACAACATTGACAAGCCTGACAGAAGCAAATGTCCATTTTAGAAGAGACAAAAACGACAAGTTTGTAGAAGCAAAACTGCGATTTGCTGTTAAGCTCCTGTAGCTCGCGCGCAATGACGATGGTCCTGACTGTCAACGTGATTTTGTCTATTCTGCACATTCTCAGTCCTGAACGTGTCCATCTCCCCTCCAGGCGCTGTCCGTGGCGGGGCTCGGCGCAGGCTTGACGGAGGCCGTTGTCGTCAATCCGTTCGAAGTGGTGAAAGTCAGCCTGCAGGCCAACAGAGACTCCTTCGCCGAGGTTCGTGAACATAGAACACTGTCGTGTGTTTCTCTCGCGATGCCCGGTGGCTTTTTCGCCGCTCTTTGACACGCCTTTCTTTTGGAATCGCTCTCTCCAATACAGCAACCCTCTTCATTCGCTCAAGCGAGGCGCATCATTAATTCGGAAGGTTTTGGACTGAGGGGTCTGAACAAAGGACTAACATCCACCCTGGGACGCCATGGAGTTTTCAACATGATCTACTTCGGCTTCTACTTCAACGTCAAGGACGCTATTCCTAGCAGCCCGGTAATATGTCAATCGAAATCAATAATCGCACCAACCACTGCTGTTTTTTGGGACGCACGAAGCTGATGCCGGTTGATGAGCCCTTTTCCTTGGTGTTTGTAACCTTGACTGTACCTAATTTTTGGCGACTTCAGGCTGTGGGGTACGCACGTGTCCCCTCTTGCCAGCTGGGAACTGCAAGTGTTTGATAGTTTGATTAGTCGACCCGACTGCCACAGAAAGGAGGAAGCCAAAATCAGAGAGGAGCATGACCGCTAATACCTCGGCTGTTTGCTCGTCATAACATCCTCCAGGTTTCAGATTACACATCCGGCAGGGCCTGATGGCCCAAACAAAAGTTAATTTTGTTTAATGGAAACGTTTCCATAAGGCAGTTCCATATGTACAAACCGGGGCATTAGATTAACTCCAATGAACTAATTGGAAGCAGGCAACGGTACTATTTTCAAAAGACGGTAACAGTGCGAGCCAAAGTCCGGCTTAATTTTCGACATTTTTCCACATTCAGAGAAGCAAGTGGTCATCCTCTGTGCAATAATTATGTGGATGACCCAAATGAAACTCTTCTTAGATTTTGGCCGGGGCTTTTTGGAATTACCCACCAGCATGTACGTTGATGATGTGATCCTGTTTGTGAAAGGCCAATAACGGCTATTGTCGAGGGAGAAAAGGATAAATATTGTGGGCTCCCGACAGCTTACAGGCTGAGCTGATAGAGGCGTATCTCCAAAGCCCATTTGTCAGCAACGTGAGCGATGAGCTTGCAACTCAAACATGACCATAGTCAAATTAAGCTGGCAGAGCTGGGGCTTCTCTTCGATTTCAATTTGAATGGTACAGAGGAGGCAGATAGCACACTGGCATCATTCACGAGTAAATGTTTGAGGCGATGTTTGCTTAAGGCTGTTAGGAAGTGGGTTGATGGGTGTACTTAGTCTGAGGGTATGTTACCCCCTTCTCAACATCCCACTTGACAAAAAGAAAAAAAAGAAGTGGGATTAGATGTTGATTTACCTCAACTCTCAGGGTGTCCAGGCACTTGAGAAAGGCCTGGACCAGAGGGGTTGCTGTCATTTGTAAAAATATCCCGGCCAATTAGCTGTCAGAGCTCTCTGAGTCTGGGCTTCTTTGGTACAGTAATACCCCTGTACAGAGTCACAGCCCAATTACCCAAATTGTACCCATATGCCTCCCCAGTCTGCCTGCATGCACCCTGTTTATAAATCCTCTGTCTTGGCTCCCCAAAGAACATGTGCTTCTGTTCAGCCAATCAGAACGCTGCACCACAGTCAGGAAGCACTAATCTGCCCCCCTGCTACCATAAAATGATCAGAGCTTTCATGCCAGCTTTGCAGTGATATGCACAAGCCGCCTCACGCTCTCCCCCACTTTAGCTCCCATACATAACGACTCCATGGCACTTCCTTTTCTCTATCGCTGTAATCTTATTTACTTGTTATATTTTGGGCAATGATGATTCTATATTTCTGGTGACCACATTTGATCTAATGCGAATGAAGCGCTACTCGTTGAATAACCCAAACCTTGTTTTTTTCTGGTCCCCCCCCCCCCCCCTTCTTTAAAAGGACCCCACCCTGGAGTTCTTGAGGAAGTTTGCCATTGGCCTGGTGTCAGGGACCATTTCCTCCTGCGTGAACATTCCCTTCGACGTGGCCAAGAGCCGCATCCAGGGCCCCCAGCCGGTGCCCGGAGAGATCAAGTACCGCACCTGCTTCCAGTCCATGGCCCTGGTGTACCGGGAGGAGGGGTAGGAAACATGTTGGGAATCATGAGTAAAAAAGCCAAAAAATGCAAAGCTGGCACTGATGCGGCCAAGGATTAATGAGGCAGTTTGTCTGCTTTTTTTTTAAACAATTGATAGCTGATCTGTCTGCCAAACTAGATGTCAGAAAAGACAAATGTACCAGCTGCAGATACAAGTTAGCACGGTTTGATTGTGCAACAAGTTTCCTGTACTAACTCTAGGAGAAGTGCATGAATAGCTTCATGCAGAGCTGTGATCCAATAAATGAAAGCTAAATAGTGACGTTACATTCCGGGCTGTATTGCCCACGTATGTACACACACCACACATTTCTGCAATCTGTCGGACGTGCAGTAAATGTTAAAATATTCTCGCCTCTCTGACACCGGTACCGCTAAATGGAGGCTTCAAGGAGAAGGTGTATGTTATTTTAGTTTTTTAGCTTTTGCCCCCATGCAGCTCCACTAGACAAGAGCCTGCGAGATGTTTGTAGTTAGTCGACCCAGGAGCCTCGGGGGCTGCTGCAGGGAACGGCACTGAAACGTTGCCGTCGCAGGGGTGCGTGGAGGGTGCCACATCCAGTCCCCTGCACTAACACAACACAGTCCCAGCTAATTAGTGGTCCCTATGGGAGACGTCGTTAAGCAAACCCTAACGAGCCGCACGGCGCTCCACGGGTCAATCTAATCAGACAGAGGGCCGGGGAGGAAGTGGGTTGAGCCTTATTAACGCCATCAGTGGCGGGGGCAGGGAGCGGGACAGGGAGCACGAGGCGCAGGCAGGCAGCCACTGATCACCTTGAATGCATTAAGGGGCAGGTACTCGCCCCCCCGCCGGCCGCTGGACCCCAGCTATGTACCTGACGACGGGGTGAGAGACAGACAGGGCAAGAAGTCACCGCCACACTTTAGCTTAGGATAAAATCTATTTGTTTTGAGGGTCACCTATGGTGTTTTGAATTTGCACATAATTAACGTCTGATTTCTTCTATAGGTACTTGGCACTGTACAAGGGGTTGGTGCCCAAGATAATGAGGCTCGGACCAGGTAACAATAACACGTTTTGATGCTGGTATTTAAATGGTCAAATATATTCATGCATTTCAGACCAAAATGTTTATATAATATTAAGGTTGGTTGAAATAACTGAGATTTCTCTTTTTTTCCACACATATAATAATGAATCTAGACAAAGCGTCCCATAGCTTGCTGCTGTAAAGTTCCACTTGAGAGCTACCAATTAAATGTGTCAGGAGCAAGTACAATTTCCGGATCAGATATATAAATTCTTACCATTTTCCATTGTCGTCAATAACAAAAATAATAAGTTGTTTTTTTTCGATATCTGTACAGTTTAAAATTGAAACATTGTTAGCTAGAACCACTGCCCACCCAGCTAATCTATAAATAATGTGCCCAACTATCCCACTCTTATCTGCAATCCAATTTATTCCTTTGTGTTTCCCGGAAAGCCGACGCATGACACTAAAACTTTATGTTCATTCACGCTGCTTATTCCACTGCGGGTTGGTTCACCGTGGCTCTGTCTTGTGTTTGGTTACAGGTGGAGCTGTGATGCTGCTGGTCTATGAATATGTGTCCGGATGGCTACAGAAGAACTGGTAGCCCAAAAAACTAAAAGAAATCACAGCATAAAAAAACCAAGAGAGTGCCTTATGGCTTGTGCCTCATTTCCAGGAACGTTAAGTGATTTTAAGTAACCTCAGACCAAATACGTCCTTCATTTTTACCTTGAATTTACAACACTGCTCTGCAAAAAAACAAAAAACATCAGCCTTACCAATGACTACAATGTCATTTGCTTCTTCTTTTCGTGATAAGGAACTTTTTTAAGGAATTAAAAACAGCCGTAATATTTCAAAATTGACCAGTAGTTTTTAAAATAGAAAACTGTTTTTTAACAGTGGATTAAAGGCCCCCCAAAACCTGTTTTCTCAATCAACTTCTTACTATGAGTAATGTGGTCCTACTTCATCGTGCCTTTTGTGCTCCTCTCACTGATTAGAGGTGGACGGTGACAGTATTTTGCCTGATTAACCTAAACAGCCGTGAAGAATCAAACAATACCTTTCAGTTAAACTCTTCAAGGATAATAACTAAGCACACTTTTATGAAGTAGCTTCTTTTGTCATAAATACTTTTGTAAAATATTTTCAATGGTCATAATGTCAAGCTTCAAGTTAAATGAAACACCAAGAATGTACTCAGTCATGATTACAAAATACCAAAACTAAGCTCTATAGCACTCGAGTATCACAGTGAAGGTACACAGGTATGCATCTACACATAATGACTGTACAGATAGTACATGGGCTGTATGCAGATACTAACACATACCAAGTTTAGATGAGTCTCACTTTGACTCTTGGTGACTTGGTGGATCATTCATATCTATGAAACATATCTAGGGATATTAAGATATATTACTACTATTATTATGTAATAGCAATACAAACTGCATTTAAAGTCGCAGCAGAACACGGCCTATCGACTCTCAAGCATAGTATTTGTGTATGTACACATCATCGTATACATCTTAAATAAAGGGGGATCACAGCCATAAGACTTGCTGTCTAGCTTAAATAGTGCCTGACGGTTCTTAATAAGAATCACTATAAGAATTTTTATGAACTGTATTGATATGGCCTATTGCGGATGTTTTTTTATTAAGATCTTTTTGCATGAGGGATTTTTTATGGACCTCCTTTGAATCGCAATATGAAACCTAAAAATTGTTAATTTGACTTTTATCTCAATGTAGCTTTTGTGACACGTTACTCGTATGTATCAGCAACAAATAAAAGAAGAAGCATTTAAAACTCCTTACTGGGCTCCTCACTGTTTGTGTGTTGGGTCCCGTAGATTTTTTGCGTTGTTGCTTGTTTGTGTCTCAGTCTCAGCTTGGCGTTGATAAGCGTATCGCCTTCCCTCACTTACCGCCCCCCAACACACACACACACACACACACATACACCCCAATCACAGCACTTGGTTGTTTGAGAACCTGTCGGCTGTAGAAGTTGCATTAGGTGCCTGCGTGTAGCTTTAGTGCGAGCTAAAACAACAAGCTCAAAAAATGCAAATGTGGCTGCAGGAATGGTGGTGTGGGGTTACCGCACACATTCTCCCTCTGCCATTCTATCTCTTACGCAAATATGCAAACACACACACACACACACACACACCTGTTGCACAGCCTTTGGGGTAATGGCTGCTCTGGCAGAGAGACTCATCTCAACCTCATCTGGCAGTAGCTTATAGTGAGCCACGTTGGCATTTGACAGTCGGCATTGATGTGGGAGTTTCTCTCAGGCAAAATGGAGCGGCTCCTGGTTTTCCGCCTGGGGGCCCTGTTGTGATGGAGTAACAACTGCGGCTTGCAGACTGATGGAATTGTAAGCGCTTAACACGTCCTTTCTGTAATGGAGTGCCGAATGTCTGTGTTTGTTTCGGACCTGACGGCGCGCAACGTAGGCCGCGTGTATTGCTGGTAGCTAAGCAACGGACCCACCCTTCACCTGGATTCCCCACCGCACTCATCGTAAATCTTCTGCAGCAAAGACCCCCTTGTCTTCATCTTCTTTCCACCCTGTCCGCGTAGGCTCCTCAACATGAACGGCAACATCTCAATTCTGTGGCTCGGGTCAGACAGGCCTGCAGTGACGACGTGGCCCAACCTGTTTTTCCCCAATGAGGCTAATGATTAAAGATTCAGGATTTACACTTCATGTCAGAAGCAGTGATTCATGTCAGTGCGATTGGATACGGCAGTCTAGTGTGTACATAATAAAGACACAGAACCAGACACGTCGTGATTGTCCGGAGCCCAGTTATATTTTGCTCACCTGTGTGCTCGACGTTGCTGTTTTAAGGCATTAAGAAAATATTCTGGCTGTTGTCAGCTTCCTTTGCAAATGTTCATTGAGCAGGCGCACGCATGAGGCCCCGTGTTCTCCCAGCACTCTGCTCTGTGTTACTCTGCATAGCTGCCTTGTTTCTGATTGCATGTGGAGAAGTAAAGATAACCATATGACACTGAAGTCAGACCCAACATAATTAACTATAAACACGTGTCTGCTCCTATTTTTAAAACTGCTGCACAAAGCGGACCAACATTAGGCTACAAGAGCAGAGATTATTAGACTACGGGAAGCTATTCCTCCCTTCTGGAAAACATACTGTTCCTATTTTTTTTTTTTTTTTATATTAAGACAACCACACTTTAATTTTGGTGCATGAGTCAGAGGACACTAACAAGGCTGTGCCCAGATCGTGAAGCTAAGTTGAAAGGAAAAGTTGTTTGGCCTTGTTGTGTGTAGGCTGAGGTAAATGGGGAAAAAAAAAAGACGCATGCAACGACTTTTTACCACTCGAGAGAGTCAACCATCATTTAGTGTACCTGACTGCTGGCAGAGGGGTGGCCGTGAGGGCTGGCTGGTACGGCGAGTCTATGATCATCACGTTCCTGTGATGTGGTTCACATACGGTCAAAGAAACACTACGATCCCTGAGCAACGGTCCGTGACCACTGGATGCGGGGAAGAGTGCTTTCCAAGTCAAATCAGCCCCAGCATGGGGGAGAATGTAGACACTGTCACATGGGGGCGAGTGTTTACACTGTAACACGGGAGGTTTGGAAACATAACTACAGCAACCACCACCTGAACCCTTAGTGGCAGGTAGTGCTATGTAAAAGAGCAGGTGAGCAGTTTTATCGGGTTATTAGTTTGTGATTTCATGTCCTCGCCAAAGCCCAGTTTGTTTAAATATCAGATTTCCACTGCAGGGCTGGACAGAACTTGCCAAAAACACTTACTTGAATGTATCACACTACACTTTGCCCTGCCCTCAAAACTTTGGGTTTTTTTTTTTAAAGTATTTTGGCATTATTTTTGCAAACATGTCATTTTTTGTAAATGAACACGTGGCCTTTTTGTGGCTGCTGAAGGTTTGTGTTTGGGTCGGATGTCCGATGACCTTGGAGAACGCGGCCAATGAGCCTTTCTGTGGATCTGTGAGTACACACAGACTCCATCAAGGAGTCCTCGGTTCAGATTTTAATTTAACTGACCTTCTGATTTACTATGTCTTGCAAATACTTCACAATTATTTACTAAATATAGTAGCTATAGCGCATTTTATTTTCATGACCCTTGAGAGAAATTTACCATGTCTTTTCTATGAATAAAAAAGTGAGAATAAATAAATATTGCAGAGGTGAAGTAAATACCTCACCTCTGTAATATTAGTTGTATTTATTTTTTGGGTGTAAATAGAATGTGTGCTTAAGATCTTAGGTTTATTGAAAAAAAACATTTTGTAAAAAGCATTATATAAATTCCTCAATAGATTAATTCAAGTTAATTAATTACATTTCTTTAATAATAATAATCTGGCGTAAATATTTATGAAGATCGAAAGGGCCGTAGGAGGTGATGTTATTTTATGACTCAAACATTTTAAAGAATGGCTTTATGTGGTAAAGTTCTGATGAACTTTCCAAGTGAGCTGTGACACATGGAAATGCCGCCCTGTGTGAGTGTGGACATATACTTTTTATGAAAAGCAGTTTCCTGCTCATGTAAAACGGGCTGGCGGGCTACAATACTGCGAATTTCCCTGAAGTTAGCGCCTGACAAAATGAAGAGAGGGAAGATATATAGTGTATACTGTCTATTGTTCCCAGAATAAAAATAAAAACTCTTAACAAAACAACCGTCGAACTCCATGAAGACCAATAACAGCCAAACAATTTATTAAGATACATTCAATTTCATTGTGCAACATTTGTCAATTGTTAATGCTCTAGACTCCAACATAAGACCAATGCCAATTTTGTCTAAACGTACGTGGAGATTCCCATGCTGTCTGCAAGACCAATTGCACTTCATTCAACGTACCTTTAGCTAATAAATAAACTTCTCCCTGGAGCTCTTGCGTACAGCTACATTTTTAGAAAAGTGGGAAAACAACACTCTGTACAACGGTTGCTTTTATCAAAACATAACACAAAATTAGCATACAAACATATATATTTAAAAAAACACAATAGCAATTCTTAAGCACCCTGAAACACTAATGCAAAGTTTTTCCCCTCTCTGATTGCATACTCGTGAAGTTATACATTACCCCCTTTCGCCCAAAGACATTTGCAGAAGTGTGCAAGTATCTCAGAGGAAATGTGTTGATGGATGGAGAAGCAGTCACACACCAGTCCTTCAGTACACCTGTCTGTGTTTTTTCAAACAAGGAAAAAAAGTTTATTCCTTTTGGTCTGACTTTGTGAAGCAGGAGGAGGTGCACAAATATGGGTCCTGGGGGCAAGTCCTTCATGGAGCGGAGGCAGCGGGAACGGAACGAAGCCACAGGGGACAGACTTGTTGTCTCCTGTCCTTCGCTGTCTCTCACCCAACCCTCTCCACCCCCCTCAACCCCCCACCCCTCCCCCACCTGGCCCCCGTCCCGTCGGTCTGACTCTGCCGGTGCCGGCGCAGCGACGGGGTCGGCGGCGTCACGGCCGGCTGTCCCGCTCCTGAAGGCCCGAGATGTGTCGACGTCACAGTTGTGGGGAGATGGAGCACTGCCACTGACCGGCCGCCATGTGGGACCGGTCACACAGGCCGACGTGGTGGCGCTGTACCCCGTGCAGGGTGACACTCGGGTGGTGGGAGGGTGGTAGGGAGGGATGCTGAGCGCTGTGGCATAGCTGTTCGCTGTGGGCGAGCCATTCGGCGTCTAGGAACAAAAAACGGAGAGAAGAGTCAGCATTAAATGTCTGAAATGTCACTGATGACTTGTCTTTCGGGCTCCCTGCTCGGTTTAGAAATTCCAGATTGGGATTTTTAGTACGTGGTTCACCTCAAGATTGGAAACCTGAAATGATCGGCCACAAAAACAAGCGACTTGATAGCGGATTGAGAAGCGGAACTTCCATTTTTAGCTATATTGTTTGGTGAACCACGACCCAGGTAGACACACGCACAGGCTGCGGAGTTATAATTGGAAAAATCTGAAGTAAACTGTAGGAAAGTGAAAGGAATAGTGATCGAATTAAAAACAGCAGAAACTATAATTCTAACTTCACAGCCACCACATAAAAAAACCATTTTTCCAATTTTGATGAAAGCATGAACAATCAATTATGCGCTCTCGTGCCCCTGGAACATATTAAAGATGGATAAAAACCATACATCCGTGATTGCCCGTCTGTCTATGAGACTTGTTTTCTATCCCCAAAAGTGGACGTTTACTCCGGCTGCGTTGATATACCACGTCAGACGATGGGAGGCCGGGTGGTTGGGGGGGCGCCACGAAACAGATGTCACAAGAGATTGAGAGTGAAAGGGCAGGAAGAGGCGAAACATGATAGAGAATGAGGCAAACATGGGATCCAGAGCATGAATGGCCCTTACTTTTCTGGCACAGCGACAGGACTTAACTTGAGGAATTCACCAAAGCATTTCAACAGGGAGGCCGAATTTCTGTCGCTGGGTGGTCCACGACTACTGGGAATTATTTCTAAAATTGGGAACTTTTCGGTTTTGTTGGCTTCATTTTCCACCTGAGTCACTGGCTGTTATTTTAAAATAGATGTAAAAGAAATTCTACTCCTAAGGGGACGTCAGTTCTAAAACCTAACGATAGAGATCCCTAGTTGTGTGTGCGTATATGCCCCTGTGGGTCTGTGTTGGGGGCCTGTGTGTGTCTGGGTGGGTGTCTGTTGGTGTTTGTGGGGGATTGTGAGTCTTCACGCAATGATACTGAAGCTAATTTCAGAAGCAGACACGCAGGCTTCGAGCTAAACATAATGGGGTTTCTTTTCTCAACTAAATCGGTTGGAAACGTTCTTAATTAAAGTAAAGGACGATCACGTCTTCCCCCAATGACGTCACCATACATAACACACACAACAATTATAATCAAGAACACAAGAACCTCAGAAATGGCTGCAGAGATGAATCAACACCAGCCGGACACAAAGTCAACGGCGTTTAGTATTTTTGGTATATTTTCTAATGTAAACATTGGTATTTATTCAATATTAAAAGGTTACCTTAAAATAATAAATGTGTGTGTTTATTTCAATAAATTATTATTTAATAAAAATACATATATTTCTAAATAAAATACACGTGTTGGTGTTTTGATGGCTTCTTGAGTTAATATAGTCAAATAGATGAAATCCGATGTGAATAATAAATAAAATCCTTGGCGTCATTCGTCCAGAGAATTACATCTCAAACTCTTTGACCTTGTCGCGATCTAATACATTTGTTTATATTTCAGATAAATCATAAAACTATTTAAAAGCATTTTTACTTAGCTTGTGAAAACGTTGAAACGCTGTATGACCGGTGGTTTTCTAAAGGAATCCATTTTACCGAAAGCTTCGACCGCTTTGGAGTCTCCGCCGCCGCGTGCACTCGGCTCGTGACTAAACCTTAAATTTATTTTAATGATGCTCCTCTTTCCTTCAGAGAAAAAGCCCTGCGACTCCCATGGGTGCGTCTGTCCTCCAAACAGCACCTATGGGCCCACATGTTACCAGCCGCAACCTCTGGGCCCACCAAGAAATCAGTGGATGTGATTCAGAGTAATGACGCGTTCAGGGTCTCATTTTTCATTTCAGGATCAATTTAACGGAGAATAAAGAGGTACAGTATGAAAAGGGAGGAAAATAAGTTTCCTTTTGTTTTGGAATTTCGAAAGAAATAATGAACACTTATCAGCACGCCCCTTGCATGACACGTCTCTACAAATGCAGATCTATTTAACATTAACGTGAAATGGTCTCTAGCAGCCCACACAAAGGCTCGGTCATCCTCCAGTATTATGGTCGAACACGGCTTATATGGTTTTTCCTACAATATAATCTGCAATTTATAGTTATTTTCTTAATTTAATGGCTCATTTGTACGGTTGGGTTTCTAACCGCTCAGACACTGTGTGTCTCGTTGGGAAATAACTTGCTGCTGATTACACAGCATCGGCCCTGTATTCTGCGTAAAAGCATTAGAACCCCTTCGCCTTAAAGAGGCAAAATAAATTATGCGGAATGATATTTTTTCAGTTTTTATTATAATTTCGGCATGTAACGAGAATCACGCCCTGTCACAGTAAGAGAAACAAGGACGCATGCGCAGGCAAACGTGGGATGCTCATAGTCCCCCTTTGTCACCTTCAAGAAAACCACAAATAAAAGCCAAGAAAACGACTAGATTTGTCTCCGAAAGAAAAAGGTAAATCTATATAAGTTTGGCGAGTATAATACATTGCATCTATTAGAATCATAATACGGAAAACTAAAAATGGGAAATTAACGCGAATGTGTGAAATTCAACGTCATTTGGTGTTATAATCTTTGTTTGGTGGAACTTCGGATATTAATCTGCAGAAAGATTACAGTTATTTTCTAGACTAAATGTGACTACTAAATTTTTTTTCGCAATAAACCAGAACAGGAAAAATGATACATGTGCAAGTTAACGTTCATTTCTATGAAGTTTAAGGTTCTCTGTTCGACATTTGCAAAACTATTCAAATGACGAAGGCCTTTGTTAGAAGAATTTACCAGGAAACCATTTTGGACTCCAGCCAGTTTCTGAAGCAATTATTAAAATAAAATAAACGTATCACGCTTGAAAAATAGAATCAAGCTAATAACAAAGCTAATCTAATATATATTTAACCTGCCAAATATTAAATGAGATACACTCGGATGATTCATACAAGCAGTGGCCATGCAGCGAGCTGTACAGGAAGTGGAACAATCATAAAGCACCATTACCGACTAACCAGCAGAAGAAGCGCATTAAGCCTGTGAACCATCAAACCCACATAATTATTAAAATATTGTGAAATACTCAAGACTGCAGTTCATTCCGTTAGATTAAAAGAGCTTGCCAAAAGATTGGATGTAGTCTGTTGACTCATTTTTAGGCAACAAAAAAAAGTTTCCATTTGTTTTACCTGTGTATTCTGTGTTGGGTTGTAAATGCTGCTTATCTATTCCATTGACAGCCCGCTGGAGGGAAATTAATTCGTTTAGCGCTCCTTTCTTCTAGTTCTGCACTCGAAAGAGATTGTCGGGCGGGGGGGCAAACGAGAGAGAGGAGAGGAAGAGGAGATTTTAAGATTTGGAAATGACTCGCATCGACTCTTCTCGTGCATCCATCAGGTTCACGTTAGCCAGGATGCTTTGGACCTTAAACCCTGAGACATTTTGATCCGACTACACGAGTATTTGTCATTTAATGCACAAATGTCATTGGAGGTCTTGTGTGCGTAAACGTTTTAATGAAATGGTTGTGTTTCTGATCATTTGAAAAATAATCATTTAAATAATATTTATAGAAACACTTTCTAATCGTCCGTCCGTGAGATAATATCAAAATACATAATCTTATATCAACAAAACTTCATTTATCAATAAGCGTGATCGGACCTAAAGTTTCACTTCTCGGGATTTTGACCTAAAACATTGTGATTTAGTATTTTGTTCCTGAGAAGTGAGACAACTCTCTGGTGGGTCAGAGACATTTTAGCCCACCAAAGCGTCTTCCTGTCGGGGGACAAATTAGATTTACTTTCACCGTCTCCTTCCTTCGTGCGTCGTGGATATTCTGGTAAACACAGCCCCCAACGTTTACACAAAGCCAGCCCACCAACGTTATAATTCGATAAAGAGATTTTTTTTTCAAATATAGACGTTTTGTGGATGTTGACTTTTACTTTTGGTTGTGTTTAGCATTGTTCAATATTTTATAAATGTGCATTCTAATGTGAGTGTCACCGCGCGTAAAAAGAAAATAGCAATGGGTTCATACATCCTTAGGCCTCATTAGTAACCATGCATATATGGTCCTTATTTTTAACTGCTATTCCCCATTAAAGATAGAGATTATAAAAGTATTTTTTTAATAATCTGACTGGTGAAATCCCTTTGCTACACATGAGCTCTCACCCCACCAAACGTAGGCCTACTGTAAAACTAACCATTGAAAGGCCGCCGAAAAACATCTGCTAATAATTTCCAAATGAAAGACATTGTTTAAAAAAAAGTCCGCTTTTCAAAACGGATTCCTCCCCTTTGTGAGTCCTCGCGGAATATCTGCCATGCGTTCGTATTGTTTGGGTTGCCCGAGTTTAATTCTCGCGTGGAGAGGAGCCGGGCGCGTTCGCGTGCACGGTAACCTGACAGCCGGCTCGCTTGCGAGGGACTGACAGCAACTCGCTTCCTGCCACTGAAAAACCAGCTCTGAGAAAATCCCGCTCCGCAACACCGAGCCGACCATTAACACTGATTTATGCCCGACCCCGTTTCGCTGTTTCCAAAACACTTGTGGTCTCGCTGCGCGCGAGCCAACGTTGTCTGGGCCCATATTTGCATGTGACACGTAAGCGACAATCGCAACACTTATGGCACGAAACAACGCGTCCTAATGTGAGTCGGGTTCGCGGTTCTGGGCCCGAATCCCTGTTAAACCTGCTGAATGCGCAAAACTGCTAAAAGAAAAAAAAATGTCTGGCTTCAAATCATGGCAAACGTTCAGAACACCTCGTTTTGATGCACTTCACCTCACCGCCTTTCCCTCCACTGTCGCTTTAACGTTCCACATCCGCCGCTTAATTATTACTGCAAACCCGACCATCTGTTTCTGCACTGACTTGTTTCCCTTTCAAATCAATATCAACCTGATCGGCTTCTAGTTGAGCTCGTTCTCCTCTTGGCGACCTTGGAGTTCATACCGTCTCTCGCTGCTTACTTCCGAAGGCCTATAAAAACCATCACAGTGACTCCAATGGAAACAATGCAACCGCCTTCTCTCTGAAAACCCTTTTTCAAACGTAGTTTAAATGTAGTGCAATAGAGAAACGCAACCGCCCTCCATGCAGCCGTGCTTACTTTGTTGCTCTGTAATAGACCGTATCCCCAGAATATCTGTCACCGAGTGCGAGGAGGGCCATATCCTGTGCATGGCCATGTGTCCAGGAATGGTGGGCATGCCGGGGGGAGTCTGCACTTTGGACGTCGGGTACGAGTACAAGTGGTTGTAGGGTATCGTTGCTTGGGGCGGCGGGTGAGGCGCCTGCTTCCCCGACTCGTATTGACTCTGCTGGGACAGATTCCCGATCTTGTTGCGGAGGATCCGGCTGATGGAGCTGACGGAGGGGAGGTTGAACTTGTCGCAAACCCCGTCGGCGAGTAGCCTGTCCCGGATCTCCCAGGCAAAAATCCCCGGGTCCCTCTGCTTGTATGTCCGTATGTGCTTGACCACGGTGGGCGTGGTGACCCGCGGCTTGCTGCCCCCGATGGCCCCCGGGAGGATGGAGCCGGTTTCGTTGTAGCGGGCCAGGATCTTGCTGACGCAGCCGTGGGAGACGCGTAGCTGCCTGCTGATGTCACAGGGTCGAATCCCGAGCTGGGCCAGCTCCACTATCCTGAGCCGGATCGCGTTCGGCAGCGGCCTGCCGTTCACGAAAACACCGCCGAGTTGGTTCACCTCACCGAAGGCTGGCTCTGGTGTTGGAAACAAAAACACACAAACCGGCGGAACAATGAGACCGTGATCGTGACCAACCCGTCTGCCCGACCACAGACTGCTTTAAAACCGGGTTAAACCACATAGTTTAATGGGCTTGGCATTTGAAAAATCATTGCATTAATCATTTCAGATATGGCAAAAGTGGTGCCATCTATTATTCAAAGGTTTGTCATCAGTGGTTCATTTAAAATTCAATCAGTACACACAATCTCATTTTTTTCAAAGTGTTTTCAGCTCAAATGAATATTCGCTGAAACGCAAATGTGTAACTTTTAGTTCTGTGTAATGTGTGGGTGAAATGCACCAACCGATAGCTGACAGAGATGTTGTGCGCATGGGGCTAAACTCCAGACGAACGTCAGAACTCGTGCGTAACTGGCGCATGTCATAATCCAGTCCGCTGGTGTCCTCCCACTGGACTATCTGACAAACCTCGCTACAGTTTACAAACTTACACAACCGCGTCGTACGCTGCACCCCCGGCAAGAAAATAAACTAATAAAAAAAGATCCCACATCGAACTCACCCATCGCGTTAAAGCCGCAAACGAAGAACACGGTGTCCGGTTTGTGCCTCCTGCGTTGATCCTGCTCCGCGTCCAGCGTGTCCGCTGTCCAAAACCGCGTCCAAGAAAATCTTCTTGCGCGATAAGGAACAAGAGGGACAAAATGCTCGATCTGTTTCTTGACGGCGCTGTAGACAGGCTTACATTTCAATCTGTTGAAATTAGGAGGCAGGACTTCCAGCGCGTTTCGCCCGCTCATTGGCTCATTCTGCCGATAGACTTTCACATTTGTTCTAAACTGCGTAGTTATTGGTCCAAAAGTTTGAAATGACAAGTCCGATGAGACCCCCCCTCCCTCTGTCCTCCTATTCGTCCCGCTCCCATCAGAAGGCAAAACTAGGGACATACCACCATGAATGCGTTTATTATTGAAACAGATATGGTAAGTAAAGAAATATCAAGTTTTCTTTATCAGATCTTCACCTTTTTCAAAAGTTAAAGCGCTAAAAACATGTGCAAAAGCTCCAGTGGGTGAACATCACAAGGAAACAGATGAAAAATATTTTGCTAATGAATGCTCTATATTTTGATATTTGGTAAAAAAAATAAAATTATAATTTTTATAGCGGGAATTAAACGTTTCCTAACCATTAAAAATGCTGCAAGCTCTATAACAAAACCAAAAAGGTGCCAAACCTGAGTGGCTTTTAGGCTCCGCTATACACCACCATTCATTGTCACCTTTTAAATGCATTCGTTTAGTAAATGGGAGGAAATGAACGATTGGTTTTGAATGAATTGGGTGATGTTTTCAAATTGTATCTCGGTGTCTTCGAGGATTATCACACGTTTCCTTAGTTTGTTCTTTCTCTCCTTTACGCACCAAGCACCGACTGCGACACTATAAACCCGACCGAAAACGAGGCGGTCAGAATGTTTAACCTTTAAAATAACCTCTGGTCATGCATTTTGAAAATACATGGCAGATGTTAGTTTGATATAGTGTGTCAAGTTCAAAGTAAATATTGAACACTACAATTGAGAGCGCTCAAGAGGTTTCCTCTTTTCATTTTCAAACGTCCGAGTTTATCTGGATTACGTTTTTGCAGAGAACAGGCCAAATGTCGCAAATCCTTTCTTTTAAATCAAATTATGCTCTGCAGGCACACGGCTCGTATGTGATAAAGACATCGCCTTAATTCTGTCCCAACCTATAGCTAATTAGCCTTCGGGTTAAAGGTTTGCAGACCAATATCATTTTTTCTATACCTTAACTACCTCTGCCTGCATGCTGATTTTGTACAGAACCCCCACTTGCAGGCAATAAGAATAAGATTTGTTGCTTCCCGACACGAGAAACAAACACGCGCCATAACTTTGCGCCTTCGCTCTCTCCCGAACATTTTGGACACATGCTTTGGGTTTTTTATCGTGTCCTATTTTAAAAAGGCCCCGGTGCATGACTGACCTTCATCTCTGCGCAAACTAAGGGGATTAACGTGCATGGAAACATCAAACGGGCGCTCCTGTACAGCCGCGCAATTAGGAATATTGTTGCAAACCTCTGCTGACGTTACGCACCGTAGCGGCCGTGAGGGCCCGACGCGTACACAGCGCGTCCCCGTGTTTGTTTCTGCTCTGTTGGGTGGATGCAGCGGGCTTAACGCACCCACATTTTGTCGTCTGGTTCTGCACTTTTTATGAACGTGCACAGATTACAACGCGTGGCTTTTAACACAAAACAAATTAGCAGCCTGGTCTTCTAAGGAGGCGTTTTTCTGGAAGTAGTTTTGTTTACGTGCCGCTGTATTTTAGTCAACAAAAATCGGCCGAGGTTCTCACTTTAGTCGGCGTCTTATTTACCGCCGCTTCCGCCCCCACCTGCCCACCCGGCTCAGCTCCCAGGCCACTAATGCGTCAAGGATAATGTTTACCGTGGGGAAACGTGCTGGACTTGTTTCCAGTGAGGTTCCTCTGGTTGCTGAAATAACAAAAGGTCATTGGTGAAAGATCAAAGGTCTCAGCAAACTGCTCCATCTTCAGCAATTTCTTCCTTTTGACTAAACGGACACCTGAGCTATTATAGACGAGAGTCCACATGAGGACGCTGCAGCCACACAGCCGACTTCCACACGTCTCCATCATTGACGTCGCACCTCGGAAATTCAGTTGACATAAATACATGAAAGTAATTGAAATTATTGAACAAATGATGTGATTATTGCACTGGAACGAATCGTTGCAGAGCGATCATTATTATTATGTTATATTATAGGCCATTATATTATTATTGTTATTATGCGTTAGAGTTGAGGGCATTGCCAGGGTTTGTTTATAATGATATCCAGACTCTGCATGGCTGTCACACTGTGCAACTCACAAGCCCAAACCCGTCCATGTCGAATTGAATTGTTCAAACTACCTGTGAAGGCAACGCATACCTTGTCAAACAAATTGTGTAACGATGGACTCGATGCTTCGACTGCATAACTCTCTGCAGGAGACAAACGGGGAGCTTTATTCCTCAGCTCATACGGTTTCTGCGGATTTGGCTGCAGATTTATCCTTGTGGAATATTCTGCTTCAGGCCTTTACTTGATAATAATCACATTTGGAGCATATTTTATCTTATAATTGCTACAAATGTGATTATTGTTATCCGTTGAAGGCACGGTTCTTAATTGAGTAACAAAACATTAATCTCACTACATTTTATTTTTACTATACAAGTATGTTTTAGGCTAAATCAGGACGTTTGAATCATTGGACTATAGTGCGAACATGCACTGGAGCAACTTTGGAGATCTTAACGCAGTGAGTTTCACTGGTCCTCCATTATCTTGATTTGAATGCGTGATAGACATTTTGTGAATGTGAGTTTGTTCTTTTTCTGCAACAAAATATATTTGATCTCTTCAAAAAAGTAGAATATCCAATTCTATTTCTAAAATATAAAACGTATGTTTTATGTAATGAAACTGTTGGAGATATTTTGGATTCAAATTGAACGCACCGCACTGAGAAAAGGAAGATGTAATGTAGAAAATAAGCAATAAACAGGGTCAATATGACCCCCAAAAACTCAATATTTATATCTGGATAATGATAATTGTTTTAATTATTCTAAATAATGAATATCTTCGGGCTTTTATTTTGTTATTTGTTTACAGAATATTTCTTATTCTATTTATCAATGGATTCCACTGGTTTACCTCGTACCTGTTTATATCACAGCTTTCTTCCATGGGAAAGTGCTTTGCTCATAATTGATTTCATGCGCACAGAAGGTCTTTATTGACTCAAGATGAAGGACGAAGCGTTTTTGCTCCTTGTGTCCGTTTCCCCCCCTTTACCTTCCTGTCTCTAAGGTGCTGTTGGTCCCAAATGATGAAAAGAATGGAGAAGATTCCCACCAGCAGAAGAACCCAAATGCACGCTATATGAAACCATCATGACCTGAATAATTTATCTCGTGAGCGGATGTCATCCACTTTATTGTCTGATATTACCTCAAATGAAGGATGGTGGCGCTCGTGCTGCGTTGCCAAATATCCGCATTTCTAAATCCTACATTGGCTTCAGTCTAAAAGATGTGACCTGAGGAGAGAAGAGTACCCTCCCGAAACAGAACCGAGAAATCAACACTGCGGTTATGATGGAAACCCTTCCCTCTCACCTCAACTATTTATTTCATGTGTGGACAAACTTTACTGCTTTTTTGGGGTTGAATTTACATATTTTCCAACAAGTAAGGACTCGAGGAACGTTTTTGTCTGTTATGTCTACAACGAGTGATGCATTGCGGCTTTAGATGTGCACAGAAATGCCTTTAACGAGGCTCAAACCTGTTTCCATCGAGGAGGAGGAACAGAAAAGAGTCTCAGGCTTTCGTTAAAGTCTGAACGAATATATCTAAAATATTAAGGATTGTATCGTTACGATGTTCTGGTAAATAAAGAGGTCTAAAAAACAAACATAAAGGATCGCTTGGATCTTAAAAATAATTTCTTCCTCAACGTCTTTTTGTTTCACTTTATGAAAATGAATCCTATGCGTCTCATAATCGACGTATTCTTCATATTCATCTGTGGCTATTAGTTATTATCAGAAACCGGATTATTGCATCACTGGAAATAACTCAATAAGATGCAAGTAACAACCTTTCTCGTTTTGTTGAAACCAAAATAATCTCAGTCAGAATCAAAATCTTAAAATGCGAAATCACGCGAGATTTCTTTTCGGCACCCGTCAACTGCATTTATTTCTGTAAATAATGATGATTATTTGATGCGGGAGGGTGGTGGTGGTGAGTACTAAACATCTCGTTTTTGACTTTTCAATCAGTCAAATATAATCTTTGTTCATGACGTCTGCAGGAAGTTGGATTATGGGAACCAAAGGAATACATAAACCTGACAATTTATTCATCACCAAACCTGTAGTAACGCCATTAAGATCAAACAAGATGTGATGAATAGCAATTACTTCTGAGGTCTTTGTTAAATGAGATACGATTTTAAAGTTAGATTTTTTTTTAAACACATAATTGGTTTTCAAAGAAAATTAGGTTTCTCTGCTGTCATTTAATAATAATAAAAACAATAAAATAACGTTTACCATTCAGAAAAGAGTGTAACAAGTTAACTGATCTTGAAAAGAAAAGTATTCAGAGTTATTGGCATTTCAATAATCTGTATTATTACGCTATTACTATTATCATATTATGCAGCGGTGAGAAAAATAAATGTCTGGATAACATCGATCTGTGTTCATTTGTCACATACAAACCTACAAACACCTTTTGTCAAAAGAGAAGTAACCGGAAACTGGGTTACGGTGCTTTGACTGTAATCTGTCAAATCATTCATCTTTGTGGTTTAAAATAAATGAATACGTTGTTTCAGGATCGACCTTCATGTTTGATAAACGCGCCCTCACAGCAGCTCATCTGATCGCTGACGGAAAGCTGCTGAGAGGTTCAACAGCAACAACAAGAAACCTTCCTTTTATTAATGTTCCCAAAGTCCCCACTAACAGGTTATCACGGGGACGCGCGGGAGGTCTCACATCTTCTACTAACTGTCCCCAAACTGACATCTGCAACAAGCGTGTGTGCGCGCGTGCGTCTTGTGTGTGTGTGCGCGTGTGTGTTTGCGCATGCTCTGCGTCTAAGGCCCAGCAGTTTGTCACCCAAAAGCACCACTAATGTGATTTATTAAGGCGCATATAGGAAAGTGGCCTCTTGCTGGTTAATGCAAATAATATAAGACCACG